CCCCCCCTCTCCCGCAATCCGCCGCATCCCAGTTCCGTGTTCGGAAAGAAAAGGAAGTGTACTACGGAAACCCTAAAGAGAATAAATAGCCGCTACGAGATGGGAGGATCAAAAGTATAGGCGACCGTATATAAATTGCTGGCATCAGGGAGCCGCTTTCGATTGCGCGCTCTCATTTTACTTTCACTTTCGAGATTCGCGATCACTAGGACTCTATACTATGGAGCGGCAGTACTATTACCACACATTTGACAAGATTAGATGTTTGTCATTGGTGCTCAGGATCTGCAAATCATTCGCCATCGTCCTATCAGACATTTCTCCTTAAGGTCTCTGCACACAGAGTCTGAAATTTTCGTAGGCTATTCGAAATCCTAAAAATTTGTCACGCACAGAAACCTTGCACACCGAGTCCGGTGCGTATGAATTAATCCGTTGCGAAAAAAATTCACAAAACAGCACTAAATGGAGTCTTCAAGCAGTGAGGATTATTTTGTTGTCCTCTCGCTTCTTAAAAAAAGAAAGAGAAAGGAAATATTGGGTCCATCCAATCCTGAGATATAGAGAGGACGGAGAATTCCCCTCGTTATTAAAGAGCAGCGGGATTATCACGGGCGAAGTTTACTTCAGGATGTCAGTGGCTCAGGAATACTAGAGCCACATATTAAAAAGAAGACCACCAATTTCTGTGAACTCGGTGTGCAAGGATGTATATACAGTGCTTTGTGCTGCGAGACGAAGTGGATGAATTTGACAATCGCCATTCTAGATTTTGGCGTTTGCTTGTACGGTGGCTCTGAACTGTCAAAACACCTCTCAAAATGCTTGCTACGAATGCAAAAAACGAATTTTTTTTTTATGACGGACGAATATTTCGGAGGCAGTATGTAAACGTGATTGACATAACGTGAGGTCGTATTTATTTTTTAACGTGGACTCAGTGTGCAATGACCTTTACTCTGTGTATGTGGTAAGTGAACTTTCATGTACTGTAATGCAACAGGCTACCGCTAACCTTTTAGTGGCTCCGTATAACGCGTTATTTGTTTCACACTTTGGGCACACCCCTAACCCACACACACACTGAAACACACTCTCTCACACACACACACACACACACACACACACACACACACACACACACACACACACTGAAACACACTCTTTCACACACACACACTAACATACACACACACACACACACACACTAACATACTGAAACACTCTCACACACACACACACACTGAAACACTCTCTTTCACACACACTAACATACTGAAACACACTCTCTTTCACACACACACACACACACTGAAACACTCTCTTTCACACACACTAACATACTGAAACACACTCTCTTTCACACACACACACACACACTGAAACACTCTCTTTCACACACACTAACATACTGAAACACACTCTCTTTCACACACACACACACACACTGAAACACTCTCTTTCACACACACTAACATACTGAAACACACTCTCTTTCACACACACACACACACACACACTCACCCTGAGCAATGGTGGACATCACCACTGAAGGTGTGGAGGACACCATGGTCGTCACAGCGACAGGACTGGGCCCCGGGGCCGCGGCGGAGCCGGCTGAGATCACCATGGTCTGTTTGTGGCTGGCCGCGTTGAGCGCGGCGCTCGACACCAGCTTCGACACGGCCGCGTAGTTGTGCGACCTGGACAAGATGTTTGGCATGAAGTTGGAGCTGGGAGACGTCGTCACGATGATCACCTGCAGCACAGAGTCGACTCAATGAATCACTCAAACATATGATTCAGTGATTCTTTATGCTGCTCCTCTGCTCTGAAGGAACGTTCAAGCATTTGTGGCTGGATTTTGATGTCATTAAGTCTCTTCTGCTCACCGCTGCTGCATTTGTTTGATTAAAAAAATGCAGTAAAAATTGTAATATTATTGCCATTTAAAATATCTGTTTTCTATGTGAATATGTGTTAAACTGTAATGTATTTCTGTGATGTGCAGCTGTATTTTCAGCATCATTACTCCAGTCTTCAGTGTCACATGATCTTCAGAAATCAGTATAATATGCTGATCTGCTGCTCGAGAAACATTTCTGATTATTATCAATGTTCAAAACAGTTGTGCTGCTCAATATTGTTTGGCAAACGTGATCATATTTTTCAGGATTCTTTGATAAATAAAAAGTTAAAAAGAACAGTGTTTATTCAAAATATAAATGTTGTGTTATAGTACACACTACTACTCAAAAGCTTGGAGTCAGTCATTTAAAAAAAAAGAAATTAATACTTTTATTCAGCAGGGATGGATAAAAAGTGATCGTAAGGACTTATATTGTTAGAAAATATTTATATTTTGATTAAATGCTGTTCTTTTTAACTTTTTATTCATCAAAGAATCAAAGAAAAAAGTATTACGGGTTCAACATTGATCATAAATCAGCATATTAGACTGATTTCTGAAGATCATGTGACACTGAAGACTGGAGGAATGATGCTGAAAATACAGCTGCGCATCACAGGAATACATTATATTTTAATGTATATTAAAATAGGAAATCACTATTAGAAATTGCAATAATATTCCACAACAATATTACAGTTTCTTTCTGTATTTTTGATCAAATAAATACAGCCTTGATGAGCACAAGAGACTCCATTTAAAAGCATTAAAAATCTTACTAATCCCAAACTTTTGAATGGCAGTATATATATACACACTCACACACTCACACACTCACACTCACACTCTCACACACTCACACACACTCACACACTCTCACACTCTCACACTCTCACACTCTCACACTCTCACACTCTCACACTCTCACACTCTCACACTCTCACACTCTCACACTCTCACACTCTCACACTCTCACACTCTCACACTCTCACACTCTCACACATATTCAAACAGAAAACCAATATTAGAAATTGAAATAACCTCACAATATTAGTTTTTTTTCTGTATTTTTGATCAAATAAATACAGCCTTGATGAGCACAAGAGACTCCATTTAAAAGCATTAAAAATCTTACTAATCCCAAACTTTTGAATGGCAGTATATATATACACACTCACACACTCACACACTCACACTCACACTCTCACACACTCACACACACTCACACACTCTCACACTCTCACACTCTCACACTCTCACACTCTCACACACTCACACACTCACACACACTCTCACTCTCACACTCACACTCACACTCACACTCACACTCACACTCACACTCACACTCACACTCACACTCACACTCACACACACACACACTCACACACACACTCACACACACACTCACACACACACTCACACACACTCACACAGAGCTGGGTAGATTACTTACAAATTGTAATCCATTACTGATTCCAAATTACACGACAAAACTTGTAGTTAGTAACGTAATCCATTACATTACACATTTTAGGTAATAATCACACTACTTTTAGATTACTTTTTTAAGATTATCTTGATGTAAATAGGTTAATCTTGTACCATACTGATATAAAAATACAAAGAGCAAGAAAGTATATTCTGTTTGTTGTTATCATGAAGTGCATTAAACATATTACTTCAAGATTTCCTTGCTACTACTTCAAAAGCTAATAATTAACTAAATCATGAAAATATTAAATTCAAACCATTTTAAAATGAATCAAAATAAGTACATCCTAGGTGTATATTTATAATGCAATGCTAATCAATAAAGCCTTTATCACTGTATATAATACTATCACTCTGTGATATGAAACCATGTCTGGTCACAAAAATAAGTTATTTCAAACACTCGACTATGTTATTAAGTTAATTTGGAGAAAAAGCATGTCAATAAATGACTTCTTTGTTGGACAACAGGTGTGTAAACTGTGCAAAACTGTGCTACTGTAGGACATTTATTTAGAGCGATTTTTTGTGCACTGTACAGCATGTATCATTATTATACACAGCAGCCGTGGCTTTATTGGAGGAATAAGCATCTTAATGAACATGACAGGAAGGAAGTGCGCCTGACCTTCTGCGTGGTGCTGTTGGTGGTCTGGGTGGAGGGTTTGGTGAAGGTGATCTTCACCGGCGACATGTGCGGCGGCAGCGAGTTGGCGATGCTCTGCATCAGGTTGCTCATCTTGGGGCTGCCGCTCACCGGAAGCGTGATGGTTTTGGGAATGGGCGTGGCCACTTTAGGCACCTCCTTCAGCAGCATGGGGGAGGAGCTAGACGAGTTGGTTCTCCGCCTCTTACGAGGTTTCTCGTCCTCATCGGAGCAGCTCACGCCTGACAGACACAACGAGACGTCACACAGCTTTAACACAGTATTAAACAATGTGCCGTTCTCGTCTGGCCTGTTTAATACTGTAACACAATCTGCATTGTAAAAAGAAATACTGGGGTGAAAGTTTATAGTTCAGATATAAACACTGATGTCTATGGAAGTGATCAAAATAGAGCAAGTCATCTTCTGAAAGTAACTGGCGCTTCAAATAACGTTTGTGTCGACTGCATTGTTTCTCCACTAGGTGGCGACAAGTGACTGTTAAAAATGTGTTTGTCATTGAATCATTCATTCAAGAGATTCGTTCAAAAACACAGATTCATCCAGTAATGAAACGAGTGAAGTAGCCTATTTATGAGTCATTGAGTCATTCATTCAAGAGATTCATTCAAAAACGCTGATTCATCCAGTAATGAAAGAAGTGAAGTATTAAAAATGGTCAATTTTAAATAAATTGTCTTCATTTGTAAGTTGCTTTGGATAAAAGTGTCTGCTAAATGACTAAATATAAATGTAAGTGTAAGTTTAAGCGAGTCATTGAATCATTCATTCAAACCACTTTTCATAATTTTAATATATAAACACTTTTAAATAGACTTCAGCAATTAATATTTTGTTTAGTTCAGAATCGTGATCTCTTTTCGAGACAAAAAAAAAAAATCATCACTCAATTGTGACCCTGGAGCACAAAATCAGTCATAAGGGTCACATTTTGGAAATTGAGATTTATACATCAGCTGAAAGCTGAATAAATCAGCTTTTCATTGATGTATGGTTTGTTAGGATCTGACAATATTTGAAAATCTGGAATCTGAGGGTGCAAAAAAATCTAAATATTGAGAAAATCATCTTTAAAGTTGTTCAAATGAAGTTCTTAGCAATGCATATTACTAATCAAACATTAAGTTTTGATATATTTACGGTAGGAAACTTACTAAATATCTTCATGGAACATGATCTTTACTTAATATCCTAATGATTTTTGTCATAAAAGAGAAATGTATAATTGTGACCCATACAATGTATTGTTGGCTATTGCTACAAATATCCCCCAGCGACTCAACACTGCTTTTGTGCTGCAGGGACACATTTATCCAGAATCGTGAAGCTCTAGAGGAGAGCATGACGTGTGTGTGTGTGAGTGTGTGCGTGCGTGTGTGAGAGAGTGTGTGTGTGTGTGCGTGCTTGTGTGAGAGAGTGTGTGTGCGTGTGTGTGAGAGAGTGTGTGCGTGTGTGTGAGAGTGTGTGTGTGCGTGTGAGAGTGTGTGTGTGTGTGCGTGTGAGTGTGTGAGTGTGAGTGTGTGTGAGTGTGAG